GGTAAACTGTGACATCCTGGAAAAACATAGAAGGCTTGCGAACTTTCTCCCAGTGCTACCTGGTGTGTATCTGGTAGGGTGTAAGAGCAAAAGAAATTCGAGCAGTCCTACCGTAAAGTCCCCCTCCCACGCTTGTTGTTCTGATTTCCTTCTGTCTTTATATCCTCGACGCACTCGCACATCCAGCTAGGGGTTCCAGTCAGAGTACGAGCATATTGAAGGAACTTATAAAGTCCCTCAATCTGCAAAAACCTTTCGCTCCTTCCAGCATCGTGACTTCAAGCTCACGCTGAGATACCACATTGCACCCGCTTTCGTCGCAGCCTTCGTTCCGAGTCCCTTGTTTTACGTACCCGGCACAGCACCCCGAGAAACTGGAGCACTATGCACCCCTCTACCCCACTTCCAAGTCTTGTGTCCGGGGCGACCCCTATAATGACAGATGGGTGTGTATTCCCTCTACCGAGTCGAGGTTCGTGCGTCGACTGATGGGCATGAAGTGTCTCCAACAGTGCGAGAGATGAAAGCGCAAGCGATTCAGGCAGTGATAACGGTGGCGCCGGCCAAGTTGCCCAACCGAGCACGAAAGTCTCTTGTCCGGGTTGGGTTGAAAGAGTGTTTGCCCCGGGGTACGAACGATTCGTTGGGGACCGTAACGCAATATTGGCTCTACCCAACGCTGCGTTCGGCGTGCCACCTCCACCTCCACCCTCACCTCCACCTCCACCCCCCTCTCCACCTCCACCTCCACAGCCGCCTTCACCTCCACCTCCATCCCCGTCTTCACCTCCACCTCCGTCCCCATCCCCACCTCCGCCTCCTCCATCTGCGGAATCTTTCTCCAGCAGCAACTCGTCGTCGTCGTCACCGCCGAGCAGCTTCCCTCCCGATTCCCCAACGGCTAAGAGGAAGCTGACATCTCCTGCCCCAGCCGACGAGGACCTTCGGTGCGCAAAGAAGAAACGCCACGAGTGATGCTCCGTCACCGGCCCCCACAGTCAAATTATTTACGCTCCATAATCGTCCCTGTCACTCTGTCATCGGTTCCTTGCATTTCCCCGATGAAGACACAACATTATTATCTTGCTATTTTTTGGCGCGACCCGGTGCTTGATTTTTTGGATTTCCTTCCGCTCCGTAATTCTGGGGAGTGGTTATTGCATTTAGACGGGGTTTTGGTCGGAGTTTTTCGCTTGTAAGGCATGTTATTACAGTTCGATTATATCTGGTGGTCGTACATGATTGTTGAGATGAGGATATTCTGTCCGATTGTTCTCCTTGAGGCTTTTGGTCTTCAGTTTATCTCCTAGATTTTGTTTTTCTTTAATTTAGATGCATACACACACACAGAAATTTGAGGAACTCACATCACAATCAAAGGACACTATAACTCTATACAGCTAACTGTGGAGACATCGTAGATCTCTTTGTGGATGCAGGAAGCGGAACGATTATGATGGCTTTTGCGGGTGGCGTCCGTCTGACAAGGAGCGCGAAAGGAAAGGCGTGGAGCCTCAGACCGAAAGCCAGCCCTCCCACCCTTCATACACTCCTACCACAGCTGCCTACCCCGTGGGTGTGTGTGCAGCCGCCCAACCTACCAGTGTATTTCTTGCCGCGGATCCTCTGTTCCCAGACCTCCAAAGTTCAACACTCGGTCTCCGACTCCACGCCTTTTTTTCGGGCTCCCTGTCGGACGGACGAACGCCACCAGCAAAATCCATCATATCCGTTTCTCTTTCAAAACACGAAGCGAAGCTGTTATCCGCATCCCATCTTGATCGTGAAGCTCTAATGGGCCCTCTAGTAACAGACATCGGCACCAATCCTTTCCCCGACCAATCATCGAGTCGTATCGTGACCGCCATTTTTGATGTTGCCTAAGGAACTCAGCTCGATGGAGCGGGATTGCGGGCTATAAACAGAACTCCAGAGGCGGATAGTGGGTGCTTCGATGAGGATCTCCCGGCTTCCAGGGTCTTCGAATGGAAGGTGCCGTGTCAATCCAATCGGTTGCTGCTGACCGTGTCGCCACCGCACCTTAGAGCAAAGGCGCTCCGGATGATCGAAATAATCTCCGCACAAACCCCTGCGGAAGAATAACAGGCGACAAGCGAGATACGGAACTGGTGCTGGGGTTGAGAAAGATTTCCAACGAGCAAGTTCGCGTCGTGTGCGATGAATCCGGAAGAGCAACCGGAAACGGCGGCCAAAATATATCAGGCGAGCTTGTCGCCATCGGGCGCATCGTCTTGCCATCTCTACGCAGGATTCTGAACATCCTAGAAATGCGCCTCTTGCCAAATTATCTATGACGACTGCCTCCACCTAAAGAAGGGACCTGGGGATTATAATCAGTTTCAATTGCTCGAGGCCATCCGGGCCAGTCAGAACTTCCGGCCAAGGATTTCAGGTCGACCATTGAAACAGATCGTCGAGCTGCCAGATCCACTGTGGCTATGGGTTTCCTGGTCAGGGTCAACTCGACTCTTCTTCGCCGGCTAGATCCGGATGGTGAGATGGGTTGCGTTGAGTGTTGCAACTGTTACAAAATCGCTCTGCTCCAGAGTCTGGAGGCAACTGGTCTCTATACCCCAGGGTCGAAGGCTAGGTGCTGTGGCATGTACGAGGTTCGAAAGTTGAATTTGCGGTGTTGCGGAGCTGAAGTAGAACTGCACTGGTTCATGGTGGTCCACCACACGGGACAAACGCAGGAGAACAGTTGGTGGTTGTGACTGTGATGTACTAATGTCGCCGTCGAAGTGTAGATGCTAGAGTATCGGCTTTGAATTCTCGCCCTCACTGGGCAGCAAGGGACCATGGATGCATCGTATTGCGGCGCTCGGAGGGGACAAACAATGTGGTCGCTTTTCCTGTTCGACGACCGTGGAACCGCGAAATCCAGCCTGGAAGTACGTCCCTCTTATCCACGGCGACCCGATATCCTCCCATGGTCGGTGGGAATTGGCATCTCCATCGGCGGTTCGGTGGGTGTCTCAGCGGACAGTAGGGCAGGCTAGATCGCTGGTCATCACCTGCTCCTTGAGGTGATGAGAGCCGGGGTGATCCGGGCCGTTCCTATCGACGCCAGCGGCGATAAGCGAGAAATTCCGTCCATAAGATCTGATTCGTGCAATGATGGTGATGTTCGATCCTGCTGCGAGCTGCGGTAGATGACATTAACCGCGCAGATGAACGCGCCCAATTTCATGTACGGCAACCGTCCATGAAGTGAGGGAGAGCACGCTATTTTGAATACTGCGATCCGGCACTTTGTGCGATCTGCCGGCGTTTTTTTCCCCTGTGTGCCGTCCATGCCGCGGGATTTCTGCCGGCGTTTCGGTTATGTTAGCGACGAACTACCGGTATATACTTCACATCCAGCGAGCGCATTATTAGAAGTTCTGTTTCCCGATCGAAAGTTCGAAACACCCATAGAAGTTAAATTAGGCTCTGCAGAGTGCGCGGCCTGCTTTAAGCGCTAACTATGATCGACGATAAGGCTTAGTTACTTTGAATTGAGACAACCCAACCCGTCCCGTCAGTCCGGTTCAGTGCAACACAGCAGAAGAACCCCACGAATCGTTCGGATTTCTATCCGGTAATAACCCGGTTTCGGGAGATAGAAAGATCTCCACCGACACGGGTACCTCGGCTTTGATGATCCCATGTCCACGTCCTCAAGCTCGCGACAGAGGTTGGTTAGGCTAGGCTACGAAGACCTCCGGGTTTGGTTGATTCTCTTTCAATATACTGAGACAGGTTCTGGTACTAGTTGGTATCGGATGCGATAAAGCGATAGCGGTTGCGGATTGGCGTTCTGACGTAGACTAGGAAAGGAAACGGCGAAAATGAAAGATGATAGAGAAGTTGAGGTTCTATTCAACTTGGAAGAGCCATCTCATATGGCTCTCCTCTGCTGCCTGCAACGTTCGGTGCCACCCGATCCGGCCAGTCCGGCTATCAACGGCCACGGTCCAGGAACTGCGGACCCATCCTGATGACAACATTTCAATAGTCGGATCGTCCTTGCATGAAACGGAATGACTTATTACTTCACGGCGGCAACTTCAAAACTGCGCCGTACATATGCACAACAGATCAGAGCTCCTCAAGGATTTGAGCGATAACTGGCTACGTACATAGCAACGAATAGGATATCAAAGCTGAGACTTTGAATTGAACATCAATGAACGTTCCAAGAAAAGAGATAACCTGCCAACCGTCCATAAATAAACCACATCATGCGTATCTCGGCGTCATTGGCATGCATAGAGTACACCGATCCCTGGTTGGTTCCAGAGGTCTAATGCACACAGGCACCACGCTGGGAGATGCCTGGAAATGGCTTGTGGTGAAGCCATCTGGTCCCTGCAGTATGTATGCAGGGCGTTGACAGGGCATTGAACTTAGTGAACCACACGTGAGAGAATATCTGTGCAACTTCATCACCACAGATCCGCTACATTTAGTACTTCCTCATCCAAATCATCTGTGGTGCCAATTGTCGACCCAATTTTGTGGAGGACGCGGCACCCGCCCCTCGACCTAACTGGATCGTCACTACGTGGGGTGGGGGACCCCGCTGCACAAATACTGTCAGGTAACATACAATATCGACGTGTACTGCTCAGTACCGGCGGTATTTTGGAGCCTGTTTCCGTACCGGCTGTTACAGTGCTTATGACGGCACACTTACAGTATAGTACAGTGTTGAATACAGCGGCACTCCACCTCAACGGCCGGTACCAGCCTGCGTCGCCATGACGCAAATAACGGGGCAGATGGTCAATCACAGTAAATCACGGAATCGTTCGGTACTAGCCTAAACTGTTACTCCCTAGTTCCTGCGAGTAGTACCGGTATCCCGTGCTAGTATATCCCTCCCCCCCCCACCCCCCCCCCCCCCCCCCATCCGGTACCGAGGAAAACTACAATGGAGGTTCGACTCTCAACATGCGCACAAATTCGGCGAGATCATAGCAGCTTCAGCACTAGTAGTCACTTCCACGCCGAAGCAACGACGATGTGGCACCTTTGCATTGGATGCGCCTTCGGTACAGAAAATTGGTCATTGACAAATTTCTCAAACATAGATACCGGTAAATTCCTGCAAACTCCAAAGCCGGCTGCTAGTCACATCTTCGTGCAAAAACCGCTCTCCAGTATCATCTTGGAAACGATCACCACCGAGAAGACCCCCACCGGAATCAACAACAACATCATGGTAAAGAAATGAAGCCCCTTGGCCAAGGGTTTACCATACAAGCGCAAAAATGGTAGCAAAAGCGCCAGTGCCTGTCCCATAGCGAGCCAACCGACAACGGCGAACCGCTGGACAGCAGTGCTGTTGGCTGCCTCGAAGCGCGTCATGAAGTGTATAATGATGTAGGGGATGAGGAGCGAGACACCCCATATGACGAAATGGCCGATCTCCTTGCAGAGTGTGCCCGTGTCCAATATCTTGCCGGTTATGAGGCTCTCGCATAAGCGCCATAACTGGAAAAAATTACAACAATCAGTCAACACAGCTCTGAAAGACCATAGCCCGCCATATATAACGTACCCTCTGGTATGGCGCCTCTTTGAGGGTCTCCGGACGAATGTATACCAATCCTACTGCACCGATCACAGAATCTCGTAATGCTTGGTTCCACTCCGCTTTTCGCCGTCGTTCGAGCGCCTGCGCATCGGGATTCTTCTCCCGCTGAGCGTCATCCTCCGGCGTATCAATCGTGCGTACGTTGATACTAGCCCGTTTCCCCTCTTCCGTGCCGTCGATGGATGGAGTGTTCTCGTTCGCTGGGGTGCTGTCGTTCAGCTCTTCACCGCCACCATAATGCACGAGGTACATGTGCGAGTAGTGGGAGTGCAACACCGCCGCAAAGAGGTTTAGAAACGACATCCAAAGGTACGGTATTACCGTCAATCCGAACGCCGCATAGCCGTATTGATTGATCTGGGCACCGCGCGAGTCATACAGTTCCTTGCTGGCAAATAAAATCTGTGCGATCGCGGCAATCGCCTGCACAAAGTTGTAGGAATTCGGAATTTCTATGTCTTCGAGCTCGCAGCCCTCCTGCAGCGGTTCTATTCGATATTTCGGAGGGATGTGGATCAGGTGATATGTTATGTCTTTGCCGATAACGCTCTCCAGACGCTGGATGCCGTAGCCGGGGCGACAGACACCGCTGGCCACCGGATGGTTTCCATGGACGTACCTGAAGTCGTTCTGGGACCATTCTCTGTGCGAGCATTACGGTCAACTCACACGCTCGTTTGCACGGTGATGGAAGAGTCGATACGTACAAGTCCTCCAGGCACAGCCCCTCATCCGCAAAAGCAGTTGGCACCATAACAGCGCCATTTTTATCGCAGCCGACAACCATGCACATGGCGCCGCTCTCGGAAGCGGCCCGGAACGAGGAAAGCAGTACGGCGGGGCGTCTCATGATGATGACGATTGCACTCCAGGTGCCCAAGAACGGCATGAAGAGAGCGGCAATCATACCAGTAAAAATCTGGAGATTTGTTGCTCCCGGAGCCGACACCACCGTGAACACATGCGTGACGTAGTTCAGCAGGATGAACTTTGCGACACTGATCCAGGTCGTTCTGGTGCATATCGTTTCCCCCTGCGCGGCGAAGCGTAGAGCTGGTAATTCGGTAGGGGCCATCGTGTGTGGGTGGAGAGGGAACGGACGGTTTCGACGAGGACCGGCAACGGTATCGCTTGCGGAGTCGGTGGAAGGCTGACAAGAGACTGGACCTCTTCCGCCTTTTCGGAGATATCCCCATATTTACGTGGTTGCTTCGACTGTTGTTGTTATTGTTGTTGTCGGACTACTCCGCTGAATGTCGCTCCCTGCTGAATGTCGCTCTGCAGTGCGGCTGAACTCTGTTCAACCTTTCAAAGAACATGTCCAATAGCAGCACTCGACCGCAAAGAGATACTTCGGGATTGGTTGCAGATTGGACGGGATGACATGCCAGCATCGCAGCTTTTGGCAACACGCCCGAGCTCTGTCGGAAGCACAGTGGGTGTTACGTACTCAACCATTCCCCGAGCTAGAGTCTTGAAATGCAATCGAGCGAATCAACCGATCAGGCTGCATTGTGCTTGTAGAATATGCTCTAGCGTCTTGTACCTGGAGTGAACCTGTCAGTTATGTCTGGCCGAGTGTTCAGCTATACCTAAGGGTAAGTTTTTTTAGGTGGGCCTCAGGATCCGAGTTATCCAGTGGTACGAGGTATGCATGTGTAGGAGTAGGTCACTGCTGGCGAGAACGTAAACATCAGCTTTGTCTCGCTCCAGCCGTTAAATACCACACCCGATGTTTTCGCAAGTCAAAGTGGTGAATTTTTTTGTTCAATCATCATAACATTGGACCTGAATAGTACATAGCTGCGCACATGTCCGGTTCCTCTCCGTTATGCAGGGTGGTGGAGTTCAGAGTAGGCTTTTAGCGAGGTCCGGCGCGCGCATGGCTAACCAACGTAAAGGCACACTGTGAAGGAATAGAGCGAGTCAAGTTGCAATGTTTATTTAGGCGAAGTCGGGTAGGTAGGCGTTTGGTAGTAATTGGATCCTCACCTCCGCGGCCAGCAGCGTGAGGCGTGTCACGTGATATCACCGAGTGATATCTGACTAGTGCTCCCTCCGTGACGCCAAAAACAAAAACAAAAACCATCACCACCCCCGGCGGGTAGCTTGGAAACACCAAGAGCTGAGTCTTTCACCTGGGCTTGAACCCCGAGCTTTCCCTCGATTCCCCTCGGCGATTGCATGGCCTAAACCACTAGACCACGCGGGTTTTTTCAGTGCTGCAAACATGAATTCGATACCTATAAAGTGGTGGGTGTTCCCGCAACGGACAAGTTCCGCCACAAACCTGGCACCCGCGGAGTTTCTTCTTCTTCTTCCTCTTGCTCAATCATCATCTACAGCATAGACGGTCAACCTCCACCTCATCCTTCCGGTCTGCAGGATGCGAGCAGTCGAGCTGACGGATATGTCTGGAACCATGAGAACGGCTCCCGAGCGGTGGGACGCCCCAAACAAATAGGTAAAAACAGTGGCCCGGATATACTGACCATTTTGCAGTGAAAGGGCAAAAAGCCGCGGCAGAGACGGTGCTAAGGCCTCCGTACAGCAACGGGAATACAATTAGTCGCCGTGACCCGGGAGGCATCACAAGGATGGAGACTTATACCACTTGATATATCGTACCTACACATCTGTGTGTGCTGCTCACCGAGATACCGGCTGCTGTGCTATGCTGAGGGGATAGAAAGCTCCGCCATTATCCTCGCCCTCCCCAACCAAGTCCATAGCGACCACAGCAAACCCGAAGACACTCACGCCGAGTTACATCACGGATTTCCCACGCAGCATGTCATGTATTGAACGGTATCAAACACGTTTGTTTCTTTCTTTGTACTTCATGCGACCTATCTACGGAATTGAAAATGTAGTATTAACGACACGGCCCCTGTTGATTGTGTCATGTTTGTCTGATTGATCGTTCATGGGTATCATTCGTTTGCTTGTTTCCTTGTCACGAGTTTGTTTCACTGTTTGTGTTTGTTTCACGGCCGACTCGCGGATTGCTCATTTCTGTCGTCCTCACTGTTGATTGCTCTCTCTTCTGTACGATTGAGGATCTGCTGTCTTGGTACCTATAAAAGGGCTTGATCCTGCCCACCTAGCTAGACTTCTATCTTAGATCTCTTCTTCAGTCGAATACTATCTCGAATACCTACCACCAAAAGTTCAACAGCCCATTCGAAGATGAAGCGAGTGATAAGACATGAATCGTCCCTGGGAGCGTAAGACGGGCTCCTGGGGCTTTCAAATAGATGCGTTATTGGTGGCGACCGAAGACTTCTGGCACTCTAAAGGCATCATAAAGTCTGCATTTAAGCCTTGATGTAATAACTGGTGCAGCTTAGAGTAGTGAAGGATGAGAAACCCTACCCTAATAGAGTATGTAGATACATCACAATGTATCACCTCATCCACGGAATATTGGTGACAACGAAACCATAATGCTTGTCGTACCCTCGAATTTGCCATTACTTTTGTAGTAGTTTTCGTGTCAGTCTCAATTGCCACAGAGAAACGACGAATCGACTCCTCTTCCAAATTTTAACACCAAACTCCGGAAAAACGTTTACGCCGTACCCATAACATTCCAAGAGTACGTGATATCAACCAACCCGCACCTACGTAGTTACAGCGTCCATCTATAGCTCTCCAAAAGATTCTCAATACATGAGCTGAAGGAAAGGAAGGAAGGAAACCGCAAACCCCACAGCAACCGCATTTCAAATCATTATAAAAATTCCGCTCTCCGGCATCATTTTGAAAACAACGACAATCGAGTGGACTCCCACGCAGTGTTTGACATAGTTCGGTCGGGACTGCAGTCCGGACCGGACGGACTACCAAGATCTGTTCCGGTCTGGCCCTTCGGACGGACTGCCTAAAAGTAGTCCGTCCCGTCCATCGATTCCAAGGATTGGAGGGGACTGCAGTCGACTGCAGTCCGTCCTGACCACAAAACATTTCAGACTAGTCCGTCCAAACCCCGCTCCCGGACAGACTGCCAAGATAGAGTCCAGCCTGGTCCTTGTCCCGGGACGGACGGACCGGACTATGTCGAACACTGCTCCCATGGGAATCAAGACCACGTTCCTCACCTCTAAGTCAGTAGAGCCATGGGCTGCTCTCCTCAGCGGCGCAGCCGTAATACCTTATATTCTTGCGTCTTGAGAAGCCAGCCAGCTAGTACTGCATCACACTCAATCACACTCGAGAACTTGCCAGTAGGTACGGGTATACATTGAGCACCCACCCAATAGCTATTGAGCCCACCGAATGAAGTCAAACCTCCCCGTTATTCACACCTACCTACCCACCCAGTACGGCTTTTGTGCCCCGTGTGTTCCTCCCACCCACCACCGAACCTTGTCGGCTTGTAGTAGTGGATGTGGTCAGTGAACATCCGGGTCACTGCAGTAGATACGAACTGACTGACTTCAAAATAAACGAGGTCTATAGTTGTAGGCGCATATATGCTCCGGCAGTCTGCGCTCGATGTGAATCGTTTTCCGTAACCATCGAGATTCGACCCGGCTTAACTATACCGATATAGGTAGGTATTCTCCATCCACGATCTGACTGGCTGAAGAGAGGATCTGCAATGTCGTATCCACCACAATGTTCAATGCAGCGGGGTTGACTCGTTTACGGATATTTGTTGTGGAGTTCGATGAGATGAGCTTCCTAGGGAGAAGTACATACATAATGCATGTACATATATTATGACATGACAGAAAAGTGGGGCAAGAATGCATCTCCTCCATGCCTACGTCTTCTTGCTGGTGCGAGAACACTGACCGCCTCGAGCGACTGCCCTTCTTTAACCATCCATCCATCCATGTGATGAGTTACATTGCATCTAGATGTGCAGTTGCTAATCCAACCACACCCCATCTAAGCTCACACCTCATCCAAGCTCACACCCCCATCCAAGCTCACACCCCATCTAAGCTCACACCCCTACTCGGACATCGATGATTGCCCTGCAGGCTTCTGGCTGCTGGACACCTAGTTCTTCCCCAGTGCTCTAAACTTCTACTTCAAGCGATTAGTCCTTCCCCCCTCTCCTCTCCCCCGCTCCTCAAGGTCTCACCAACCATTATTCGCTTTGCTTTTCTCCCTGGCCGATTAATGATCACATCTTTCTTTAACGTAACGTAAACCCACAGTATCTGACTCCGACTGACTCCGACTGAGGCCGGCACATATGTACCACCGTAACCAGCACAACTACCACAACCACAGCCGCACCCGAGTGCCCACACATGACCCATCCCAACCTCAGCCCCGGGGAATCGGACATGCGCAACTTGCACGCCTTGTGGTACATACCAGGAAAACAAGCTTTTTTTTCTGCCCCACCTCCCCTCCACGCACACCCACCCACCTCGGATGCTGGGTTATGCGCCGGGTAGGTCGGCAACGACTGGTGGTGTGGTGAGTGAATGGGTGAGTGGGTGTGTTATCTGTGTGCTGGTGTTCCAGTTACATATGTACGAGACCTCACGGTTGGATTTTGTAGGTTTACCTGGTTCTCCTTCGTATCGGGAAAGAGCCGAGTATGTACATATGTGTTTGGTTTCGGAACCGTACCACCACAGGGTTTTCTGGGATGTAGGTATGTAGATGGGTACCGGTACTTATGTACCGGTATGCAGACCGATAAGCAACAGATAGGTAAGCTTATCCAGCGGAGCTGTATTTCAAACGTGCCGATTTGTCACTTGGTTATGTACGCGGCTGGTTGGAGAAGAGTATGAGGATGTCGGTGTTGGCTTTTGTAGTATTATTCTTCGTATTTATGTACCGACCAGTTTGCAACTTGCATGGAGAATGAGTAGAGTACTCTAAATACGATGCCGTATGTGAGAGCGCTTTTGCAGCCTTTCTGTGTTTTGCAGCTCCAGCCCCACGTGCAGCCGGACACCGGAAGCCGAGGCCGGAGCGGAATGCGAAATCACTCCCGGCCCCGGCCCCGTCAGCAACTGGAAGTGGGCCTGAACTCCGGGGTCGGGGAATAGCCCCTGCCAGACGGACCGCGTGCAAAGACCGCGTGCAAGACCACGAGTGACCGTCTTCAGCCATGTGTCCATATCAGCAGGAAACCGCGATTTAGTGGATCGAAACACAGTTCCGCCTCGACAGAAACCCAAGACATATGTAGAATTCGAATGGAATGTATCGGTACACATCACCCACCGAATAGTTGTTGTTGTCCCACCCACCCACCTGCTGTGCCGGTGTTCCCCAGATCGGCGTTCGGCGTTCGCTTCGTCTCGGGCAGGGATGCAGTCCTCATCCCTATGTATGTAGGAGGGAACAAGTCGTCTCGTACATAGAAGGAATAGCCAGTCTGGGTTTGCGTGGGGGGAGGGGCGACCGACCGACCGCCGGCGCCATGGAGGCTTGAGCCGTGTTTCCGGGCGCCGCACTCAGCCTAAATGCAAGAGTGGAGGCCGAGTGGCGCGGAGCGGAGGAAGGGTTCAACGTCGTTGAAGGTCGTGTTCGTGTTCTTTCGATGCTCGGTGCTCGGTGCTCTCTCTCTCTCTCTCTCTCTCTCTCTCTCTCTCTCTCTCTCTCTCTCTCTCTCTCTCAGTCGAAGTCTGCGCCGCACAGTTGCTTATGTACTCCCTTGTTCGTTGTGCAGAGGTAAAGGGTAAGAGGGAATTTTGCCGTATGTAGATGTAGGTAACTGCGTCGAGTGTCTGGGATGGTACCTACGTGCGTATGGGTGCTGCATGCTGCTTGCTTGCTGGCTGGCCGCAATACCGTGGGCGGTGTACACGACACTCTATCCCATACGCGTCTCTGTCCCGCCCGCCCGTGGGTTCCCCTGCGTCGTTTGTCGGGACAGGATGATGCTCGTGTGTCCATGGCCTTCGTTCGTCCCTTCGTTCGTCCCTTCGTTCGTCCCTTCGTGTTCGTAGTTACCGATCCGCCGGTCGGCCCTTCCACTTCGACTTCGCGGTTCCCTTCCCTTCCCCTGCCCTTGCCAGCATCCGGACGGCACCGACGTCATCTCACACGGCCCTTGTCAGTGGTTTAGTCAACTAGCGTAGCCCTAAGCAAAAGACAGTCTGCGACTTCTGCGCCGCGCCCTGCGGCTCCACACGGCCGCTCGTCGCTCGTCAGCTGGCTCGTGACAAAAAGAAAAAAAGGAAAGAAAAGAAACGGCCAGTCATAGTGATGGAGAATGACTTTTTCGGCGGCGAGTCACAGTGATGATGGAGAACGGCGTCTTCTTCTTCGGCGACAGATGAGGAATGATAGTTAGATACTGATAGTTTCTGAGAGTGAGCTGCATATGTACGGTATCTACATAGCTGGACAGTCCGTTTTGCTTTCGCTGTCGCTCAGCTTCGTGCGAGATCAGAGAGAGGAGCTGAGCTGCTGCAGAATTCGATCCCCACGTTGGTGGTCGATTTGCGGCACCGACGGCTGCGGGTTTCGTGTGCCAAACGTCCGAGAGAATAATTCGAGAAGAATTGCATACATGTACAACCAGCTCTGCACTGCTCTACACTGCATGGCATGCGCCGAGTCGAGTCGAGTCGAGTCGAGTCGACAGGGCCCTTCTGCTTTGATCTGCTTCTGCTTTGCTTCTCGGGTCGGGTCTGTATACTCCACTCGAGATGTCTGAGTGTGGCCGGTGGCTGGGCTGGGACAGCAGCAACAGCACAGCAGCAGCAGCACAGATGTGTCCCCTTCGTTCGTTCCGAGTGCGACCTTCCGACTTTCGTCTGCGATTGAGGCTTCATAGGGTGATTGGTGAGCGAGTGGCAATTGCCCTTTTTTCTCTGCTGGTGACCAAGTGAGTACCGTATGTACTCACAGTGATGAGTGTCTGTAGAATTTTCTTGTGTAGCCGAAAGAAGCGTGCGGTTGCTAGCAGAGCAGATGGGAGCCAACCCAGCAAACCCAACCCCATCCGCCGGATCCACCGCTCTCGCCGCCGCATCCTCTGCCAGTGACTTCTCCACCACCACCACCACCACAATAGCAACGGCCAACCAGACTTCGACCTCTCTCACGCCGCGTGCCTGACTTCTCCTGTGCTTCCCAGACCGACGCTTCCTATTGGCACAACACTAGAGTATAGTAGACACTCCACTGCGCAGCAGCTGCCTTCCCCGTCTCCCGCGACAGAACGGCACAAAGAGAAAGAATAAGAACAAGAAGACGCAGGCAGATCCAGTTCGGTCTCGCCTCACTCACTCTCTCTCACCCACAACCCAAATTTCCGCCTCCCGACCCGCCGCCCTACATATTCGATCCCTCCCCCACCCACCCGCCCATCTACCGAACTCAAAACCCTCCCCATTCCCCGTTCTCTTCTGCCAGCCTCTCCTTCCTACTCCTCCACCTCCACTCGAACGACCCCGCCGCTAGACCCTCGTCGTCACCTGCCGTTCCTGATAATACGACTACACCCCGATTACCCCAGCCGCTACGCTACTACCGATAATACTACAACTACCCCTCCAACCCCTCGATCACACCACCACTGCTAAACCACTACCACAACCACAACCACCACACATCGTCTGCCAGCCATGACTTCAGTACTTGCGGCCGGAGCTTCGACGCATCCCTTCACATGCAATACCTGCCAGGTTGCCTTCCGAGCGAACGAGGCGCAACGGAACCACTACCACACCGACTGGCAGTACGTTCCCACCTCCCCACTGACTCCCCACTCACGTTCACGCTGGCTCTAACTCCCCTCGCAGTCAATACAACCTCAAGCGTAAAGTAGCCGAGCTGCCGCCACTTTCCTCGGAAACCTTCGCCGAAAAGGTTCTGCACGCACAAGCCAGCACCCGTCTCGAACGCGAGCGTGCCACCTTCGAGAAGAACTGCGCCGCCTGCAACAAGACATACTACTCCGAGAACGGCTACGTAAATCACCTGGGCAGCCACAAGCACCGACAGAATGTTGCCACTGCTCAGATGAATGCGATCCGCGCCAGGGGCAGTGGTGCCAGCGCACGGGGTGCGACGGAGAGGGACGAGACCGCCAGTGTGGTCAGCTCGACCTTCTCGCTGGGAGAGCCGGTTACTGCGAACGGAGGCGAGGAGAAGGAAGCGCAGGCGGCGGAGGCGGCGCTGGCGGAGAAGGTCGAGGCTCTCAACGTTTCGGGCGATTCGACGCCGACACCCAGTGAGGCGCCTGGCAAGGAGGAGCTGCTGCAGGCGCTGACACTCGAGGCGTGTTTGTTCTGCCCGTACGTGTCGCCGTCGCTCACGCTCAACGTTAGCCACATGACCAAAGCGCACGGCTTGTTCATTCCCGAGGCGTCGTACCTGGTCGATCTGGCGGGTTTGATGACATATCTGGGACAGAAGTTGGTGCTTGGTAACCAGTGCCTGTACTGCAACAAACAGAAGGGAGGACTGGAAGGGATCAGGACTCATATGCAGGATAAGGGCCACACCATGCTCGGTTTCGAGACGGAGGAACAGCAGATCGAGTTGGGTCAGTTCTACGACTTCCGAAGCACGTACTCCGATGCCGGTGAAGAGTCCTCCAGTTCCGACGACGCCGCCGAGACTTCCGATAAGAAGGACAACGGAGACGACGAGTGGGAGGATGAGGATGTTGCTGGCGGTGAGGCCGAAGGTGAGGCGTGGGAGACGGATTCCGACACCTCTGTCGATTCTACGAATCTGGGCTCGATCCCCATCGACCGTGTCCGTCCCAGCCGGCGCGGCGAGGCAGCAGGACACCACATGCAGGACGGATGGCATTCGCACGCTCACAGCCACATCTACCACGACGAATACGAGCTACATCTTCCCTCGGGCCGCTCCGTCGGGCATCGATCGCTCGCGCGCTACTACCGACAGAATCTACGCGACCACCCCATCGCACCCACCAGACGCGCCGTCGAATACCGCCGTGCCGCGGACGACGAGGACGACGAGGAGGGCGGCGTCGAGGTTGGCGAGGACGGCGAGCGCGCGCTCAACCGCCGCGAGAGGAGAGAGGAGGCCAGGGCTGTTGCCAGACGCGGTGACCTCGGCATGACCGGCGCCACCACTTCGCAGAAGCGCGACGTCGCCAAGTTCACGAAACTCGCACAGGCGGAGGAGGCTCGTGGCCGGAGAAAATTCGAGCGCATTGTCAACCTCAAGGGCAATTCCCAGAAGCATTACCGCGATCCGCTCCTGCAATAGATCATTTTCGTTCGTGTTCGTGGAATTGCTCTGTTCTGGTTTTTTCTTTCTTTTCTTGGCTCGCATCTGTACAGTTGTATTCTCGTTTGGCTTGGTTGATTGATAGCAGTGGGGTTTCAAAAGTTAGTTTGGTTATGGGGGAACGGTGTTGTCTGGACTCTGCTGGTCCGGGGCGGGGCGGGGGCGCGGCGGGAGTGCTTGGTTAAATCTGTCTTGTCTTGTCTCTTGTCTCTTGCAGTTCTCCTAGATATGATATGGAGTTCAAATCGTGTGGCGCTGCTTTGGGTGAAACGGAAACGGTATCTATGGCATGGCACTTTTCCGCCCTCCTCCTACTTCTTCCCATCCTCCTCCGCCCCCGCCTGCCCCGCCCGCCTTTCTTTTTCTTTTTCTCCCGTTTTTTTCTTTCTTTCTTTTTTTTTTTCCCTTTTTTCTTTTCTTTTGTTGTCCAGTAGCTTGCACGTGCAGTTAAGATGGAGCGATGTCATCAACATCAATTTTCTTTTCTTTTCTTTTCTTTTCTTTCCTCAAGTTTTTTTCTGTTGGGGAATGCGATGTGCTGTGATGCGAGTGCGATGCCGCGTGAATATAAACCTGCTTTTCGTTGTCGCGCACTGGGTGATACACACATACGAGTTTTCGTGTTTGGTGACTGGTGACTGGTTGAACCGTGGGGGAGGCCGGATGAGGTGTTGCGAGCCTCAACTAGTCTCGGTGATGTCTCGACTCTTTCCAAGATGGTGACTTGAAAGCTGGGGAGAAGGAGGCGTGTAAACTGGCGAGTAAACGGGTGCAATTGTAGAAACGGGTGCAATTGAATCGACTAGAGAGAATTGAAGGGTTTCCTTCCCCGACATTCGCGAAGGTCGCTGGGGAGGATCACTTGTATGTAGTGCCTTGGCCGTTTTGGCGATGTGTTGTTCGTTTCGATGATGTCTTGGTCGCCTTGGTTATGTCTTGGAGATTCGGTGATATCTTAGTCGTCTTGGGATCTTGGAAGATTCCGACTTTTGCACGGAATCCGGGCTTTTCGATCGACGGTGACGGGGACGCGGACGGGGCCTTACGGGGTGGCAATTGAGAGTGTTCTAGAAGTACTCTGCTTTCCTTTCTCCACAGTCCACGAGTTCGGTCATTCTATACCGACTCTACCGACTCTAGCAGACGACGCCGCCGTTGAAGAGAACGCGAAAGAGAACGAGAAAGCGACAGAGGGCCGCGTATACTTTCTCCCCCTAACACCCCCCGTACCATACATCCATAACATCCATAACTCTCTGTACCCAGACCGGCCGTTCTAACTTCTCTTGCGTGCTAGCCAGCCAAGTAACTACCGTATTACCTACTCCACTCTGCTGTGTGTCTGTAGCATCCCTTCCGACTTCGTTCTGCTCTGCTCTGCTCGTTCTTGTTTAGAGTGTAGTGCCATCCCGCTTGCCAAATCAAATTAATATTATCCGACACCTACTCTACCACCCACCCTCCGCCGCGCACCGTCCTGTCCAATCCTGTCCAGTCCTGTCGAGTCCTGTCCAGTTTGCTCCTGTCCGTTCCGAACGCTCCTTCTTTTCTCCTGGGCCCTACATACACACATACACACATACATCCTATCCTACATACACCTAAACACACAACTTCCACCGCCCCAATCCCGCACCCACCGCACCGCACCCCAAAAACGCCTCCCCTCGCAAATTTCCCAGCAGCGCCGCGCAACGCAGTAAAACCAAAAAGAACAAGCACTGAATGCCGACGCCCACGCGCAGCAGCTCCTCGACGCTCCGTTCATTACGTCATGCCCCCAGCGTTGGCGGCGGCGGCAGCGGTGGATTTGGCTACCAAAAGCTTGCAAAGCTGGGGCTTTTGGCGATAGCGAACCTGCCCAAGCTCGTGCGGAGCCATCCGACCGCGCACTTCTCGCACTTTGATGTCCAGGCCGCCGCAGAAGAGGAGGGCGCCGAAAATGAACATGGCTTTTGGGTCTACTTCAGTGTCGCCGTCTCCCTCGTCTTGCTCGGTGGCGTGTTTGCTGGTTTGACTTTAGGGTGAGTGATCGATCCGATCTCGCGGAGCCCCTGCGGGGGAGGGGGGGAGTTGTGGTAATGCGGAGGGTGCTGACGGAAAACAGGTTGATGGGACAGGATGAGATCTACCTGCAGGTCATCCAGCAGAGCGGCGACGACAACGAGAAGCGCAATGCCACCAAGGTGCTGAATCTGCTCAAGAGGGGAAAGCATTGGGTCCTCGTCACGCTGCTGTTGAGTAATGTCATCACCAACGAGACATTGCCCATCGTGCTCGATCGCAGTCTGGGAGGAGGATGGCCCGCCGTGTTGAGCAGTACGGTTTTGATCGGTATGTTGAGACTGGTGTGCGATTGATTAATGCCGGGAGGGTGGAATGCTGATGGGTGTGCGTGCGAATAGTCATCTTTGGAGAAATCATCCCGCAGTCTATCTGTGTCAGATACGGACTCGGTGTTGGTGCATTGTTCTCACCGTAAGTGACGATTCAATTCGTGCCCCCCCGTCTATAGGTATGTGTGCTGACGACCGATAGTTTCGTGCTCGCGTTGATGTACCTGATGTACCCGGTCGCATACCCTACCGCGCTCCTCCTCGATTACATCCTCGGAGAAGACCACGGCACTGTCTACAAGAAGGCCGGACTCAAGACACTCGTCACGCTGCACAAGAGCCTGGGACCGCACCCTTCGGAACGTCTCAATCAGGACGAGGTTACGATTATTTCGGCTGTGTTGGATCTGAAGGAGAAGCCGGTTGGCGCAATCATGACGCCCATTAAGGATGTGTTCACCATGTCTGCCAACCAGCTGCTCGACGAGGAGACTATGGACGACATCTTGTCGGCCGGATACTCGCGGATTCCGATCCACGCGCCGGGCGAGCCAACCAATTTCGTTGGTATGCTGCTAGTCAAGGTGCTGATCACGTACGATCCCGAAGATGCTAGGCCCGTGCACGAATTCCCACTCGCTACGCTTCCGGAAACCGCCGAAGATACTTCCTGCCTCGATATCGTCAACTTCTTCCAGGAGGGTAAGTCGCACATGGTTCTCGTGTCTGAATATCCCGGTGAGAACCATGGTGCGCTCGGTGTGGTCACGCTGGAGGATGTCATTGAGGAGCTCATCGGCGAGGAAATCGTCGACGAGAGCGACGTCTTTATTGATGTGCACAAAGCAATCCGCCGTCTCAACCCATCGCCCCTGTCCCTCAGCCACGCCGCCCGTGCCAAGATCGAAGCTCAATACGTCGCGCGCAATGCCGACGCCCACATGCTCGCCCAAACCGCGTCCGCCGTTGCCGCCGCCCACCCCGGCGAAAGCGCCGACCTCCTGATCACGACGGGCCCGGAACCGGCGCTGCGTGTAGGAACCCCCGCGCACATTGATGAAGCATCATCGATGGGTCGGGGTCGCAAGCACTCCGGAGCCAGAGTTCCAGGTCTCTCTGACGAAGTGATAGCACACCTCACACTAGGGCCCGCGAACCTTGCCGGCCGCCCCCGGGAAACCACGAGCAAGACTGTTAAGATCAAGCACGTCGACCCCACGCGGCGGTCCGAGGACCCCGGACAGCGACCGTCCCTGGCCAACTTTGGCTACCAGGACGGCCCCGCCGATTACCCCTCCAACACATTAAGAAAACCTGTGTCCGACTCCGCCATCCTGCAGTTCTCCGACAACCCCAACAGCGATGCGGGACGAACACTCCGCGCGCCGGTGCCGGCGGGATACAAGAAGAAGGCGCGCACGGGGAGTCTGATCGAGCGAACCGATGTCGTTGGAGGTATCCCAAAGACCATCATCGAGACGACAAGCAGCGAGGAGGAGTACGAAGATAGCTCGAGCACAAAGTCAGGTCACTCCAATAAGAGTAGACATAAACGTGCGCTGAGTTCGGAGCATTCGCCGCTGTTGGGGCCGAAGGACAAGGCCGTATGATCGTGAACAAATGCGGAACGGGGTGTGGGGATTGTATGATAGACGCGTGAACAGCTGCTGGATGGATGGGTGGGCTAATTATTTGAACGCTTTTCTTTCTCTTTATCTCTCTCTCTCTTTTCTTCACACCTGCGCATGATCGTGGGTTTATGGCGACTTATGTGTTTAGTCTTTTTTTTCTATTTTTTTTTTCTCTTCTTCTCTTCTTCCTGGGCGATATATCCCGCCCTGTTTGCATTTTCGTTTCTGTTTTCCTTATCCTTTTTTTCTTTTCTTCTCACTGATTGCGATTTGATGCAGTTCTGATTTTATTTGACTTTCTGTGTGATGGGTTAATGTTTTTTCTTTTTCTTTTTCTGCTTCTTGATTTTGATTCTGATTCTGATTCCGTTGCGTCACTTCGGCCTACTGACGGAGGAGGAGGATTTTACTTTTACGATGGAGGGTATTGAATGGTGGGGATGGAGCATTGGGGGTTGCTGTATATAGCAATTGCCATGGCGATAAAGATGGTGATTGTGGTGGGGGGAGATGAGGGCGTTGTGATGACTTGACAGCCCGATGCTGTTGTTTTTACAATTCAGTGTGCTGCGGAGTGCTTGCTGTGTGACTCGTGAGACGCTGTGTCGCTGTGTTGTTGTGAGATGCTCGGCAATCTGGTGCTGTGACCAGATGCGGGAGGTGTAGCCACGCTTTGAGACGGCGACGGGCAGCTGAACTTTGAAGGGTCTCGGACGCCATGGCCACGGCCATGGCACGGGATCTACATATACGGGCAACCCGTATTGCGATTGGCTGGCCGGGACTTTCTTTGTCGGAGTGAAGAGCTGAGATGTAGTCTCAGGAGCTCGGTCACTCAGTGAAATAGGGAGCCAAAGTTTGTGAGCTCCCTTCCCTTCCCTTCGCTTCACGAATCTCACGACATAGCTACACGCGGTGACGCCATCCATCCACCCACTATGGATCCCCACACGATCTCTCGCGACAACCCTACCCCACCGCCGGACTACCACCACGACCACCACCAGTACACTCTTCAGCACGACCAGCACCAGCACCAGCACCGCACCGCCGCCGCGAAGAAGCCGTTCCTCGCCCGCGTCTGCACCACCAACCGCCGCCCACACACCACACACACCTGCACGATGAGCACCTCGACCGCGGGCGTAACACTGCTGCACCGGCTGCGCTACACGCGCAGCATCCTCTCGCTTGCCCTCAACAGCACGCACATCTTCGCGGGCTCGCAGTCGGGCTCGGTGCTGGTGTGGTCGCTGGCGACGTACTCCCTAGTAGCCACACTACGCGGGCACTCTGGCAGCGTGCTGTCGCTACACCTCTCCTCCAGCCCCTCCTCCTCCGGCGAGGGCGAACTCCTCTTCTCCTCCGCCGGCGATGCGATCGTGCAAGTGTGGTGTCCGCGCACATTCACGAACCTGTACACGATCTATTCGACATTCGACGTGGGCGACGTCTTCTGCGTAGCGTACTCGGTGTCCTCGCGGACAGCGTACTTCGGCGCACAGAACACATCCGTGCAGTGGATCGACCTGCGCGGCGCCGGCGCCGCCGGCGCAAAATCCGTGTCTGGCGAGGCCCATCCGAGCAAGCGCGTGCACCGCTTCTTCGACTCGAAGGGGCCCGGCGGGAGGTGCACGCCCCGGCCCGACGAGGAGGAGGATGAGGCCGAGGATCCAGCGGCAGAGGAGGGTGCCCGCGGAAAGACCCTGCTCGAGATCGAGCCCGCGAATATCGTCCAGTACGCGCATTTTGGGTACGTCTACTGCATGCAGGTCCTCCCTGCCGCGCAGATCGGGCTGGGCGCCGGGTCGCTCCTGCTCACGGGCGGTGGCGACGGGGATGTTAAGTTGTGGGCGATTGATCCGATCACTGGTGGGATCTCGGAGCTGCGCACGCTCGCTGGTGGCGACTCGGGCGTGCTGAGTATGGTTGTGAAGGATACGCTGCTCTACACGGGTCTTACGGACGGCGAAATACATATTTGGGATCTGGACACCTGCCAGAAGGTCAGGAGTGTGCAGGCGCACTGCGACGACGTGCTTACGCTGGCGGTGAAGGGGGAGTGTATCTTCTCCGGCAGCGCGAGCGGGTTCACGCGGAAGTGGAATATGAGATTTGAGTGTGTGAGTAGGTGGCGGGCGCACGAGGGGCTGGTGCTGGCCAGTGCGGTGACCGAGAAGAACGGGAGGCTGCTGTACATCACCGGTGGAAATGACGATTGTGTCGGCGTGTGGGACGTCGAGCCGTTTCCGGCGAAGGAGGGGGGCAAGGAGGAGCGCGGCGAGGGTGAGGGCGAGTTGCTCAGTTCGCTGGCGAAGCTGGTGGCGCTCCGGACGGTGAGCTCGGATCCTAGCTGCGCTGAGGAGTGTCGGAGGGGTGCGACGTTTCTGAAGAGTCTGTGTAAACGACTTGGAGCTGCCGCGTCGCTGCTGCCGACGGAGGACGGTCGCAATCCGGTGGTGTTTGCAAGGTTTGAGGGTGCGAACAGGAAGGCGGAGAAGGGGAAGACCCTGCTGTTCTACGGACATTACGATGTTATTCCGGCCAGCGCCGAGGGCTCGGGTTGGAAAACGGATCCCTTCACGCTCACAGGCGTCGATGGCTACCTCTACGGCCGTGGAGTGAGCGACAACAAGGGACCGTGTCTGGCTGCGCTGTTTGCCGCCGGGGAACTGCTGCAGTCGGGGAAATTGGAGAGTGACATCGTCTTCCTGATCGAGGGCGAGGAGGAGTCGGGATCGAGAGGATTCAAAGATACTGTCAGGAAACACAAAGACCTGATCGGCAATGTCGACTGGATCGTGTTCGCCAACTCGTACTGGCTCGACGATGATACACCCTGCCTCACCTATGGCCTTAGAGGAGTCATTCACGCCACGATTACCATCCAGTCCGAAAAGCCGGACCTGCACTCCGGCGTCGACGGCAGCTCGCTCAACCGCGAGCCAACCATCGAGCTGATCACCCTCCTCAGCCACCTCACCTCCCCCACTGGCGAGATCCTCCTCCCCGACTTCAACGCCCCCATCCGGCCTCTATCCCCCGCCGAGGAGCGAATGTACCTGCCCATCTCGGCCTCGCTCCACGCCAACCCGACATCGCCCTTCCACGGCCTGCCCCACCAAGAAATCACCGACCACCTGATGTCGAAATGGCGGTACCCCTCGCTGACCATCCACCGTGTCGACGTGTCCGGCCCCAGCAACAACAGCACGCTGATCCCACGGTCCGCGTCCGCGACTATCTCCCTGCGCATCGTCCCGGATCAATCCGTCTCGGGCGTGACCTCCTCTCTCCGCTCATACCTCACGTCCTCCTACCCAGGCAGCAACAACCTCTCAATCGACATATCGCACAGCGCCGAAGCGTGGCTGGGCGACTTCACCAACTCGGCGTTCTGCTCACTGCAGCGCGCAATAACGCACGTGTGGGGCGCACAGCCACTGTTTATCCGCGAGGGTGGATCGATCCCCGCCGCGAGATTCCTCGAAGAGGAGTTTGGAGCGCCGGCTGCGCATCTGCCGTGTGGTCAGGCGTCCGATATGGCGCATCTGGATAATGAGAGGCTTAGGGTTAGGAATTTGTTTGGTGCTAGGGAAGTGCTGGGCAGGGTTTTTGAGGAGTTGACGGCTGGGACGGTGGCGGAGAAGGGGGATGAGATGACGGTGAATGGGGTGGATGTGAATGGAGCAGATGAGTGATAGTGATGGAGACTGTAGGTGATGGGTTTTGCATGATCAATGGGACTAATGTATGGGTATGAGGGATTTGGGAGTCGGGAGTTGGGAACTGTTTTGATTTTGCTGGCTTTGAATATGTATGTAGTTTCTTTTACGTATATGTGGCGATGGAAATGGTGATATATCGGCTAGAATCTAGATCTCCTTTTCCTAATAGAGAGCATGAATACACGGCGTACTCCGAACTGAACGGAACGGTGACCACTTGACACGATATCTCAGTCGTGCGGCGTTGTCCTTCACCTCCTCTGCCACTAACGCCACACTTGTTTGGAATACAAAACGCCAGTCGGTGGAGCAAGCAAACTGCAAGAACACTCCTCTATTGTTGCGAATATCACCCGGCAAACATGTAGATACTATCGCTAAGTACTCTTTCATTCCCGCCGTCCAAAGTGTATGTACCTATTCCCCATGATCATCACATCATCACATCATCAAACTATTTCAATCTTAGTTATCTCCCTCCAAAACGTACGCACCCAGGTATAAAAGCAACGCAAACTCCCCAAAACGCCATTCCCATTCCTCCCGACCCATTCCAAGTAGGTCTTTACCACATCCGACTCCCCTTCTTTGAAAGTTTTCCCTTGCCCTTATTCTTCTGTTTCTCCTTCTCCAGCTCCTTCAGCCTTTCCTTTTCCCGCTCCTTTTCCCGCTCCCTCTCCTTCACCCTCTCCTTCTCCCGTTCCTTCTCCCGTTCCCGCTCCTTCACTCTCTCCTTTTCTCTTTCCTTTTCCCGATCCTTCTCCCGCTCCTTCTCCCTTTCCCTCTCCTTCTCCCTCTCCTTCTCCCGCTCCTTCTCCCTCGCCGCCTCCCCACCCCCAAAATTCAACCCAAAGAAACTTTTCCTTCGGCTCTTATCATCGAGCCGCTTCCCACTACTGGGGACGACTCCGGCATTGATGAGTCCCGGCTGTGACTGCGGCGGGGCGGAATGCCAGCCGCCCGCGCCGCCGACAATCGGCGGCCTGCTGTTGTTGATGTTGCCACTGCTGTTTCTATGCGACGGATAATACTTTAGCGCCTGCGGTTTCGGGTTCGGAACACGGTTCGGATTTGGAATTGGAAGTGGAGGGGGAATATACTGCTGTTTGTGGTGCTGCTGCAGATTATGCTGCTGTAGATTCTGCTGCTGCAGCGGCCTTCTCGGACTCATCGGCGCCTGCCCCGGCTGGGTATGCGGTCTTTGCACCTGCTGTTGCTGCTGCCCCTGCTGCTGCCGCGCCCTCGCCTCCGCCAACGCCTCCTGCTCATACAGCCGCTTGAGGCGCTCGGTCTCGGCGTCGATAGCGGCCTGGCGGTGCGCAGCCGCGCGCTCCTCGTCCGCAAGCATCCGCCGGATCTCGGCTTGCTCGTCGGCGATCCGCTGTCGCGCTGTGAGGTCCTCGAGCGTTGGCACGATCTTTTCTTCCACGGGCGCTTGTGACGAGGCGGGTTGCGCCCGCAAGGGCCGCGCGGTCGTGTGTGGTCTTGCTGTTGGGTGGTGCCGCGCGGCGGGCCGTTGGGTTAGTGCCGGTGAGGTGGGGGGTTGCCGTGCAGCGGGTCGTTGCCTTGGGGCGGGCGTGGGCATCTCGGCGGGCTGGGGCTTGGGAGCGGGCTGCTGCATGGGCGCCGACTGTTGTGTTGGGCTGGTGGTGGGTGAAACGGGAGCGGCCTTGGGTTTGTCGGGCGGGTATACCTGGCTGTTGAAGCGTTCGGCGAACGTGCCAGCGGAGGAGGCGGCCGGGGGTTCGTACGCTGGCGGGGGCGGGGCGGGTCCGCCCATTCCCGTGCCTACGCGTTGTGTAGTGTTGAATATAGCGCTCGAGCCGCTGAACCACACGTCGGCCACGACGCGGGAGCTCAGCAGCAGGACCATCTCCAGCCCCTTGAGATCCTGCATCTCCACGCGCCGGAAATTGCTCTCGTACACCACCAGCTCGCCCTTGCCGTTCTTGTCGCCGACACCGCTGTACATCGCTAGCACCGTGTCCGGCTCGTCCCCGCCGGAGACCAGAGAGCACTTCAGCTGGCTGCGCGTAAGCATGTTGATCCCCTCCTTGCGCCACCGGAACGTGAGTGTCTCCGACACCGGCGGGCGGTACGAGGCGTCCAGCGCCGACTGCGTCGGTGGCAGGAACGAGGACTTGGGCAGTGTGAATTCCCAGAAGTTGTTGCGCGTCAGGGCGGTGTGTTTCTGGGTGATCGTCACGGTGGAGTCCGGGGAGTAGAGCTGGAGAGTGAACGAGGAGGGGCGCTGGAGTTCATTGGGGTTGACGGTGCTCGGGAGAAGCGGGAGAGACAGCGAGCCGTAGGTTATGTCCGGGAACGGGGCGTCGGTCAGCGAGATGCTGTAGGAATTCGCTGGTTGCAGGAAGCGGGTCAGGGTGTAGAGGTGCTGCGGGACGGCGCCAGAGATGGTGAAGTGGACGGTGGTAATTGTGGGCTGGTTCGTCGCGTCAGGGATGGCGAACTGGTAGGCTTGGAGATCGTTAGCCAGAGCACACTATGAGAAGCGGGAGCGCACTCACTCGGGAAGTTCTCGTCGAGCGGCATGGCTGCTATTCGTTCTGCAAATTCTCGTCGTGCGTTTGGAGTATCGCCGTCGGTCGTTGTATCTCTGGGGCACTCGGTGCACTTTCCACCGGTACGTTGGATTCAGGCGTCTTAAGCGGTTGTCCAGGCAGGTGTCGGCGGTATCGACCTCCGATGATTAGTTATGTAGAGTAGTGGCTCAGTTCCTGGTCCGCCTCCACCATGCGCCAGAGGCTAGTTAAGGCAGGGATGATAGTGCGCTTCTATTTCTGGGGATGGCGATCGTTCAGAGTCCGGTTGCGTGGGAACTTGGAGTCTTGGAAGTCAGAAGTTCAAGTTCAAGTTGTCGCATCTCCAGAAAGCTGAAAAGACTCGCTAGGGGAGAGGGGAGGGTAAGACAGAATGGAGGGCGTGAAGGTACAAATAGAGTGGAGAAAGAGAGGGTACACGTCCAAGATATTATATGTATTTGATGTTGCATCCGCCATGAGGCTGTGCAGGGCTGCTCCTCCTCCTCCTCCAGCATCTAAGGCACACTCCTAGAATTTTGTATCGCCGCCCCGCAGCCACCCCCACTCGCCAGCGAACGCGTGTTTGCCGCGCACACTTAGCTTCTCACTCCAGCACATCGGGATACGGAGGAGTATCGCAGGCCGGCCAACACGCAAACGGGCAGTAGATACCGTAATACGTCTCGGTACACGGCCTTCCCTCGAAACTTGGTGCATAGCAAGTAAACAGGTTATTCCCCCTGCTCAGTGCTAGTTAACCCCACATCTGCCTGACATTGAGGTTAACCCTCTTCCCTCTCATCCATCCCTTCCAGCTGTCACTCCCGCCATCCCATTGCTCCAGCCCCACGGGACATGTCCCCGCCAGAATCTTCGGAACACTATGCCACGCCCACCGACTGCTCCCCGCCATCACCACCGCATCCCCCGAGTTCAGCCTTACAGCCAACACCTCACCCTCCTCTTCCCCATCGCAGCCGATAACGAATATCCCCGCGCACCCGATGCTAACGCTCACCAGCCCCGCGCCCGACGCCTCGGAGATGTCCCTGTGCGGTGCTAAAGTGTCCGAGGGGGAATAAAGGTTTACTATCGCCGCCTGCGGGACTATTTCAGGGAAGCACCCGGATACCAGCCCGGCCACGTCTGCGGGGAACTCCGGGGGCGTGTCGGTGGGGTACTGCTTCAGCGTCCAGTCGTATTGCCCGCCAAGGGTCACCCAGCGGAGCTTTTTGGAGAGGGCTTGGGCAAGTGTTATCGGCTTGTGGATGGAGGTGAGGGGGGAGAGGACGGTGGTGGATGGGAGCGTGAAGAAGTTGCACGGTGTGGGCAGCGTGTAGTGCGCGTGGAGGTTGGTCTTGTGCGTGGAAGTATCGCTGAGGGAGGTGGTGAGGAGGGCTGTCAGGAGGGTGGACTGGATGGAGAGCGGGAGGAGGGAAGGGATTAGTTGGAGGCCTGGAGATGTCAGTAACAAACCAATACTTTGATGTAATGAACGAACCAGGCACAGAGCTATGCTCCCAAATCTCGACATCCCCTTCCTCCTGGATTCCGTCCTGTTGTTCTTCTCCCTGCACTCCCTCTTCCTCTCCCGCCCCAGCCGCACGCGTAAACTGTGCAAAAGCCTCCCGCACCTGCTGCCTTGATATCGTGCCGTGTAGCTTCAGCCGCTTCCGGTGGTACTCGGGAATCCCCCCGCCACCGGAAAAATCGAGGATCGGGATTTCATCGTTGCTCAGTGACTTCTGGAGTGTTTTGTGGATCACGCGGATATGCGGCGGTGGGGAGTGGTGGGCATGATCGATTGGCGGCGGTGGTGGTGCCGGTGCCGGAGGTGGGACGGCAGTGGCCATGGTTTGTGGATTGGAGGTCGAGAGAGGGAAGGGATGGTTTGCGAAAGCTTGGCGGGCTACATGGAATCAATTGCTTTCCATGGCGACTCAATCAGTAGTGAAGTCCATCGGTTTACACTCATACGGGCCCGTCAAATTGTGTGGGCACTGGGTACTTGGGTACAAGTCTTCGGAAGTCTCGAAGGATGGGATTGTATGATACCGGTCTGTCCAGAGTATAGTACTACGGTTATTACATGTCTCGGCATCGGTCTTCTGCGGTTATCGGTTCGCGAGTCAAAGGAAGCTTTTGGCCGTGGGCTCCAAGAATGGCCCGATGTCGATGCGGAGGATCCTCACGTCTTTGTGCGGCTGAAACGCGGGGAGATCACGTACTCATGCACATCGTAGCGTCAGTGGTCTCGGCGGGCATGGAAGTAACGTAGAGTACATGCTACATATAACTCGATGTAAAGCTGCTCGTCGTTCTTCCCGAGCACGTACTCTACGGCGGCCAACACAGCTCAACTCAACCCGCCCGCCCCGCCAATCCCCGCCGTCGATACCCGCTCCGCCCGCTCCGCCTCGTCTCCCACTCCTCGCAGTCAATCGTCCTCCCTCACACGCGCCCACCGCACTGCTTTACTTCACAGTGACAGACACCGGAGACGGACAGGCATCAGACAGGAACAAAGGAAACGAACTCATGCTGGCCTAGCTGACTTAACCCCTTCCCGTTCCTGCTTGCTACAACATCACACGTCCATCGGAATCAGAAAAAAAGAACCCCAGAACCAGAAACCCTAACCAAGCAAAAATCAAAACGAGCCGCCTCCGACCCCCCCGACGCAATATTAGAGTAGAACTCGCGTCTTCCTCGCCATCCCCACAACACGACACGACACGACACGGCTCCCGCCACAAACTTGCTTCCCTAGCTGAAGCTTCATCGCCACTCCTACTCAGCTACACGACACCCTCCCCCTACAACCTTCCATAACCGACAAACACATCCTCACACACAGCTCAACCATGGACGGCTACCAGAGGATTGAGAAGATCGGTGAAGGTCTGTTGCCTTCCCCCCGTTCCCATCGCCACCCCCCATCATGCTACGTCCCCTTAGCTAACCATCCTATCCCCATCCTAGGCACGTACGGAGTTGTGTACAAAGCCAAGGACCTGAACAACCACAATAGAATAGTGGCGATGAAGAAGATCCGTCTGGAAGCGGAAGACGAGGGAGTCCCCTCCACCGCGATCCGCGAGATCTCGCTACTCAAGGAGATGAACGACCCCAACATCGTCAAACTACTCAACATCATCGCCGAGGGCCACAAGGTCTACCTGGTCTTCGAGTTCTTGGATCTGGATCTCAAGAAGTACATGGAGGCCATACCGGCGGGGATGGGACTCGGCGAGGACATGGTCAAGCGCTTCATGAACCAGCTGGTCAGCGGTGTCAAGTACTGCCATTCGCATCGCATCCTGCACAGAGATCTCAAGCCCCAGAATCTGCTCATCGACAAGGAGGGGAATCTGAAGTTGGCGGATTTCGGTCTGGCGAGGGCGTTTGGTGTGCCGTTGAGGACCTACACTCACGAGGTGAGTTGTGTGAATGGCCCTGTGTTTGTTTGTTTGTGTGCTGACGTGGCGGGAATGGATAGGTCGTGACCTTGTGGTACCGTTCCCCCGAGATCCTGCTGGGCGGAAAGCAGTACAGCACCGGTGTCGACATGTGGAGTGTCGGCTGCATCTTTGCCGAGATGTGCACGCGCAAGGCCCTGTTCCCCGGCGACTCGGAGATTGACGAGATCTTCAAGATCTTCCGGTAGTCAATACCGTCCTGGTTCACTCGCAGCAAACGCAGACAGCTGACAGACAGACACGACTAGACTACTCGGCACCCCCGACGAGACGACGTGGCCCGGCGTGACCTCCTTCCCCGACTACAAGAGCAGCTTTCCACGGTGGGACCGAGTAGACATCGAGCGGATGGTACCGAACCTTGAGCCCGCGGGTCTTGACCTTCTCGACGTTTGTCCTTCCATCCCCCGGTACGCACTCACAACCCATTAACAACTTCAACCAGGCCATGCTCGTCTACGACCCTGCCGGCCGCATATCCGCCAAGCAAGCCCTCCTCCACGACTACTTCATGACCGACGAAGGCGAGATGATGACGATCGAGGCCAAGCCATCGACTAAGCACCGATAGAAAATCCCACCTTGACGATGATGTGGGGGATGTGAAGAAAAGTTGCGTGCTCTAATACTTGGCGGCTGCCGAGAAGACATAGCTTAGCGGAGATGATGGGGACATTGGGGGTTATTCTTTGCACATAATCCATGAAACGACGATGCTGGGAATGATGACGGGGAATAATGATACTACGTGAGTGCTTGTGAGGGCCTTGAGTATAACGTGATTTACTGGTGAATCGTGAATCGTGAATCGTGATGTTGTCCGGTCTCCCTCTATGTACTAGTCTAGACTCTCTGCCGGACTGTCTTCGGTCTCTAGCCCAATGCTCGAACACCTATGGGGACCGCCGACCGTCCGCGGCCCGCCCAGTCACTCCGAGGAGGTCCTTCCTTTCCCTTGAACGGACCGTACAACCCTGCAGTACCCACATCGCCGACCGGCGACCGCCAGGCTTCGGGACGGTTACGTGATATCAAAGTAAAATGTAGTCGGCCCGTCGAGCGCATCATTGCAGTAATACCACGTGTCCGAACCACAGTCACAGCCACTGCCACTGTGAGAGATCACTCGTATTATCGTAATTGTAGTCTTGTAGCAGCCGCGAGGTACGGTAGGTATGTCGTGCGTGCATGCTCGGAGGTGGGCCATGGTATCACTTCTGTAAGGCTGATTCTCTCAACCCATGCCTAGTAGGTGTTTGCATGCCCTTATACGGTACTAACTATCACTATTGTCCCACCGTTTACGAGTGGCTGCTACATACATAGGCTGTAACTGTGGGGGGTGATGGTACGCAAGAAGGCACCAGTTCCTGTGTCGTGTTCGTGTCTAGTGTCCGTGCTCGTGTTCGTGTGCGTGTTCGTACATACCGGTATTCTTCTGGGCTCCTTCCAAAAAACCGTATCAACATCAAGTTGCAGGAGAATATATGTAGGCTATGTATTTAGGCTATGGCAGCCATCGATTAGAATACTCTCATTCGCCAAGCTTAAACCCATTGAGTATGCTCCAGAAACCCAGTATTCCGCACATCGCCGCGCTGAGTTGCTCAGTTGTCGAGTGATCAGTGGTGGTGGGGTGAGGTGGTGGGATGTCGGCTGCGAATGGAACGTGGAAGCCTACATACAGCACCCAGTTCAGCAGAACGCACGAGGCACGGGATAGGTGATGAATCTACTATAGCCGGCTACTGTCTGTCTAGCAGGACCACACTACTGCACACTGCACTAGCAACACCGCAACCCACAAGATGCCATCCCACAAGATGCCACCCAAGATGCCACCTCATCCCACACCAGATCATGTCAATCCACGCTACGAGCATCAGGATGCTACTATGGTAGGTAGTAGGAAACACCTGTTCAATTCAGCTCGATTCGAAAAACGAATCCGATACCGATACCTACAGTAGGTAGCAAACAGCAGGATGCGATTGATGCCGCAGGTCTCCAGTAGGTAGTACTACCGCTCGGATATAAATCCAGCAGTCTCAGAGAATACAGGTTTGCTCTGGTATTTGTTTGTTTTTTGCTATATTCTCAATTCTACAGTAACGAAAGATATTATATGCGGTTGTGTAGAGATAGGCTTACCAAACCGCTGGAATAACTACTGCAGTTCTTCTAAATGAAAATATTACGCACTGTCTACAATACTGGAGGGCTACCAGACAATTACCGTATTCGCACAACAAATTACCTGGTGTAGAGAAAACGTTGTCTTCCTAATCAGGTTTTCTAAGCTGTGGTAAAACCACGACAAGACAAGAGAACTACCCATATCAATCCATATCCACTCATATGAATCCGTATCCTCCCATATCCACCCATGAATACCATATCCGCCCATAAATACCATATCCACCCATAAATACCATATCCACCCACAAATACCATATCAATCCATATCCTGCCATATCCACCCACAATTACCATATCCGCCCATATCCTCCCATATCCTCCATAAATACCAAATCCGCCCATGAATACCATATCAATCCATATTCTCTTATATCCGCCCACAAATACCATATCAATCCATATCCTGCCATATCAACCCACAATTACCATATCCGCCCATATCCTCCCATATCCTCCCACCAATACCATATCCGCCCATATCAATCCGTCTCCTCTCATACTCTCCCCTACAAGATTATTTCAGTGGTAAAAGTGATCACTCGTTCAACTTCTAGCGAGGTTCACGAACTATGTGGCCAGCGGGCATCTTTCCAGCGAGTTTTATGTGATTTATTCGCTCAGATCTCGCCAGAAAGGCCCTCGAATATTTGAGCATTCCCGCCATAAGAGCAGATCCGGAACGAGTTTTTAGTGGGGCTAAAATCACTCTCATATCGTCGCTGAAGCATGCGTGACGACGCACTGAAGGCCCTAAAATGTCTCAAAAGGTAGCAAAGAGATGGTCTTGTAGCTGCTACAAAGGGAGATATCAAGGAGACTATTCTCAATGCACTGTGCGAGGAGGGTCTGCAATATCTGTACTATAGACGTGTGCAAAAAGGTCATTACGTATGTCAAACATTTTCCATTCAAAGTACCAGTCCATCCAGTCGACCACAGTCCGTCCAGCTCTACCAGTTGTGCAGACTGCCCAGTCCAGTCCACGCCTCCTGCCGGACTGAACCTTTCAGCCCAGTCCGACTTTTGCGGAAAGACGGACTGGACTGGACTATCGTAAGCACTGGTAATCTTTTTTGTGGAATTGTGCGGAATTATGCAGAATTATGCAGAATTATGCAGAATTAGATGGGGTTGGGTGGAATTGGCCCTTGGGTAGAATTGGATGGGATGGGATTGACTGGTGGGGGTGGCCTTGAGGTTGGGTCGAGGACTCGAGGATCTTGATGGTGTACCTACTTCCATACCAACCAAGGTATCCGACAGTTCTGAACCTGGGGGCTGGAGATGTTGGAGATGGATGAAAACTGAACGTCAAAAACGGGGAAATCCGAAAGATGAAAACCGGTACTCAAAATTTTCCACTTCAAGGTCCTTTCCTCCCGTCTGACGGCCTTCTCCCTCCATCACCAGACACGTTCGCACTCGCTCGCGTTCCCGTTTTATCTAACCCCGTGGTCTGAGGATATCCCGCAAGTCCACCACTACCACCAGTCTTCCACTGTCATTGTCACTCGCATTGTCACTCGCACACACCCACAATTGCAGCCGTTATTGTTGCTATTCATCCCGCGCTCGCAATGATTAAACAAAAAAAATATTCACCCCGCTCCGGCTCCCCTCTCAACCCCGACATGTCAATATTCTCTGAGCCGCGGCCCGGTGTTCGACATCGTCCAGTCCGTCCGTCCTGAGCCTCGGACTGGACTGGAATGTATTTTGGTAGTCCGTCCGGGGCAGTATTTGGACGGACTACCTAGTCCAATTTTTTTTGAAAGCAAGACGGACTGCAGTCCGCGCCCAGTCCACGAGATCCATGGAGTGGACGCACTACGTTTCTGCAGTCCGTCTAAATGGCCGAACGGGACCAGATCTTAACCGTCCGTCCAGTCCAAACTGCAGTCCCTATGTCGAACACTGGAGCCGCCGACCAACGTGGAGAGTGGGGGCATGTACATACCTCATATCTACGTGAGTATCGGCCGGTGCCGGGTTGGTTAGGGATTATCACGACCCCAAAGTTGGAGCTCTGAAGCTCTGGAGGATTTTCGTTTCGATGTCAGACAGGTGGGGATGGGATGGGTGGACGAAAGATGATGGCATGCTTGCGATATCACTCGGTTTTACGGGATGCCTCGGTACATACCGGGGATGCTCTTGAGAAATCCATCCATGTTGACTCGGCAGAGCTTGATCCCGGGGGTGATATGCCGCGGCCCGCCACGTAAAGCGTCGTCACGTCACGTCGCATCTCCCCCCTTATCCCTCATACATACGATACATACGTACGTACGTACCTTTGCACCGCAGCACACCGCACCGCACCTCGGATGCCGGCCGATCGTCGTGTGGCGGGGTGGAGGCCCTGGAGGGGCAAATAGCAACGAATCACGATCGATTATAATTCAATCGATTCAAGGCATACGGCTCGTTTGTGCACTTTGCACTTTACACATTGCACATTGCCGTGCGGCCGAAAGATTTCCCGTCCACGATCTCTGTCGTCGTGATTTGATTCGAGGCGGACTATGTATGTACGAGTATGATACCTTATGTACCTTGACCAAGCAAGGCCAGTGGATACCTGGATACCTCGTGCCGTATATCGATAGCACCTCCCCCCCATCTTTCCCCATCTTCCCCGCTATGATCGGCAGATGATAGGTATCAAGATAATAGGTAGATCATCCGGCTCCGGCTCGTCCGGCTTTGCCCGTCTCGTGGCCGCGATGAGATGTTATGATCGGAAACGCAGCCTCCCCCCTCCCCTCACCCTTCAAAGATAGCTCCGATATGATGTCAAAGTTCAAACTACTCACACGCGAAACGTGGAATGTCAAAAGTGCGGAATGCGGCTCTCTCTCGGCCGCGCCTTTGCGTGCGCGTGGACGAGTGTGAACTTTGAAGGCGCAGGTGACGGGAGGAGGTGACGGGGAGAGGGGAGAAGGGGGGAAGTGGGGAAGTGGGAATGGGGCAACAGAGTTTCCAGAACGTTTAATCGCTGCATTCCCACGCCACCGCCGCATCGCATCGCATCGCAGCGCATCGCATCTCGAGGCTCGAGCGAGCGAGCGGTGGAGGGGGGTCTGGGAGCCTGAGAGCTTGAGAGCTTGAGAGGGTGTGCACACTGCATCGAGGTTTGTACCTATGATGGGAGACTGGGTAGCAAGGAGTAAGGCGGCGCGGGACGGATAGGGCGGGGCAAAGATGGACAGGGCGGGGCGAAGATGGACCGATGGGCTGCGATGGTGGCGTGAGGAATCGGAGCCTGGGCGGTTGGTACCCTATACCAACCTACGGTATGTGCACGCCGAATGTGTCTATGTGCCAACCCCCGGCCCTCCCCCCGGCTACCTATCCATCCGGCATACCGGCGAAGACGGCTCATTCCGAGGGCCGACCCCCATCCCTCATCCCTCGCCCCTCGCTTGGCGTTACGACGGCACCGGGAGACGGGAGACGGGGGCTGGCCGCCTTGGGTCTGGGGTCTGGGCTGCGTAGATGATCAATACATAAGTGACTACTTTGTTGGTATGCATCGCTAATTGCCGCCTGTAAATAAGCGCACGTTGGCTGATGGGGTGCTGGACCCTGGGTGCCCGGTGGAGGATGAATCGAGCCTGGACTTTCGAGAATGTGTGAAGGATGTGTGCATGCATTCCATGGATAGTTGTGATCGGAGGTTGCATCAGCAGACAAGCAAGCAAGCAAGCATTGATTACCTAGGTGCCTAAGTACCTACTCAACCTAGGTCATAGGTACCTACAGAGCGTTTTTACTTGGGATGTCTACGTGTGGGCAAATTTTGGAGTTTGATAGGCCGGCGGTTACAGCTTTGGATTCATACCTACATCGGCGGGCCTCGGGAGTCGGTGGACTGTACTCTTGGTACTAATAAAGAGTACATAGAGCAGTAGGGCCTGGGCTGAAGCCTGGTTATTGAGCTGGTTATTGAGGGGGAAGGGGGAAGGGAAGGGGCAACGGAGATTCGGAGTTTCCGTTGCCGTTGTCGCTGTCGTTTGGGCATGGGGACTTGCGGCTTGGGCTTGAGGAATTTTAGCTTGGGTTTGGGCTTGTGCTTGCGGATTGGATCGTGGATTGCGCGAGCAGGGCAGGGCAGGGCTCGAGGCGATCTAGGTATGCATACCTACTCTACTCTACTATACACACGAGCACACACAGACACACAGAACCTCGGTGCAAGCGGAATTATGCATTTATCCAATTCTCCGCCATCATATCGCCCATCTCCCACCGTCCAACCGACCGACCAACCGAGCGTCCAAACTCTACATGGACCCTCCCCCCTCCCCCTCCCCTATCCTACCGAAACATCCACCAAGACAAGACAAGAAATCTTCCGAAAACCCACCGTCTATGCCCCGCGCCGATTGTGGTTAACCAGGTACCAGTGCAGAGATACTCGTAGGGGCGTGTCGGCGATCACACACACACACACACACATACACACACACACACACACACACACACACACACACACACACACACACACACACACACACACTTCCTGGCATCTGCAACTCAAACTTACGACCCGGCCCGCGGCAGCCCCTGCCCGTGCCCAGTTCGATACACGGGCTTCGAATAGATCGGAAATATATCTAATGAAGTCAGGAGATCTGCAAGGCAAACGAACAGAGACAGGAACTGGAAGTATGGGAGCCAATTGATGAGGTTGTTGGTATGTGAGGAAGGGGGGTTGCTTCCACTTCAGCTCAGCTGTGTAGGAACTAGGAACTCTGGTTATCTGGTTGGTACGGTACGGTACGTAGGCACTCATGGGTTCAGAAAAGTCCAATTGGTACCTACCTAATGTACGAAGCCGGAGCGGTAGATCAATCATCAATCATCAGCTGAAATCTGGAATCTGTATGTCTCTACCTATTAATAAAACTACGATCCTATATCGATTCATTGAACCGTCGAACGGTATGACTCCAGACTCTAGACTGCAGGCTCAGAGAGCCCTTTGGGCCTGTCTGAAGAAAAAGGGGAACTCAAGGCGGAAGAAGGGGAACTCAAAGTAGAAGCAGGAGAGAACTCTCGGCTTCCACGGTACGGTACCGTATTATCACAGGTAGAGTAGTACTCTCCAATTCCTCAGCTGCAGCAGCCTGCAGGTAATTCGATTCTCCTTTGGTAGTTACTCTACATACTAGTATCGTGCACCAATAACGAGCTGCGGATGCTACATCAACTCTAGATGGACGACGCTGGGTTCCCGCCCAGCCAGAATCGTGAGACAAGTGCTTATGGGAGAGGAGGGGGAGGTGGCAATCCAGATCGGCAGACACGGTATTCGCGCATGGCGATGCGGATTGAGCCGAAGCCTGCGATGTCTGCGATTCTGCCAAAGGGAAGGGGCGTATGTGGCGTTTTTCTTGCTGGGTTTGTTTTGGTTTTGGTTTTGCTCCTGAGCGCCTTTTTGGCAAGGTCGATGGGGCGAAGGGGTGTTGGTGGAGGTTTGCATGGTGGGGTCGGGAAGGGGAGAATGGAGGCGTTTTGCTTTCTTTCTTTCTTTCTTTCTTTCTTTCTTTCTTTCTTTCTTTCTTTCTTTCTTTCGTGATACACACATACCCAAGACCTTTGTACCTAGGGTAGATGCGGGTGGTGGTAAATTAGAGTAGATAGATGAACGACGGCTGGCGGATAGGCACGGCGAAAGCTGTCCTCTGAACGACCGAGACAGTCGGGCGGCCGCCGATGTGCCGATGCTACAGTAGACTTGACCGCTTTTTATGTACAGTGAAGTATGTAGTAAAGATAAAGTATATAGAGTAGTTACATTAAGTAAGCACTTAGGTACTTGGTTCAGCTCCGACGAAGGTTCGAAAGTTGGTGATGCTGCGAGCCTGCGGCAGCTGCGCGGGCTATATAGTAACATACTCTACATACGGTAGGAAAAGTAAAAAAAGACGTGTATGTGGAGTATGTACCACCTCACTCCGCCGCCCACGCAGTGCATGAGGCGCCTTCAACGTCAACTGCTTACCTACTTAGTTAACGGCCAGGCCTGCAGAACGACGTGTGTGTGTTACGCTATAACACTCTACATAGGTTCGTTGATGTAGCAGGAACCAGCAGAATCCAGCAGTTGACAGTTGCCAGTCACAGTGGTGGGAACGCCGCATACGGTACTTATTTATGTAAGTACAGCCCGAAGAATCCATATCTGCGAGTGCGATGCCGCTCATTCTGCACGGGGCCTACATACTCGGCAACGGGTCATGAGGCTGACCAATGAGACTACCGGTATGGCTCTGTGGCGGATGTATGGAATGGCTCTGCGGCGGATGTGCGGCATGGGCTTTGCGGCTGCGTCGGTGAAGGCAGTCGCGATGGGGATTGTGGTGATGATGACGATGATGATGGGCAACCAGATTGTCGATCCTCACCGTTAACACTGCTGCCATCATCTTGCATATACATACCACCACCACCACCACACAATGCATGCATCGTAAGGTGCTTGCAGGCAGTACATAGAAGAGGCAGCCCGCGCCAGTCCGGCGGAGAAGACAGCGCGGAACAGGTCCATATCTATCCAACTACATATCTGGAGCGGAACGGCAGGCGGCTACCAACTATATAGCGGAGTAAAGTATTACCTACACCTCCTCTGGACAACCGAGACAGAGTGACCCGGGGAGAGATCTCGGATAAGTCATACGTACATACACACGCGATGAGCTGCATCTGTTTGTCGTCGGGATAAGCTCACGGCTCGAGGGAGAGAGAGATAGGCAGAGAGAGAGTTTCGACCTGCCAAAGAGTGTTAGTTTTGCAGCACCCCACCGACAGGTGACGCGGGGAACCGCGACGGGGGGATTCCTCGGGTATGTAGGTGTAGAGAGTACGCATACATAGGACATCTTGGTGCGCTCTCTCGTTCGAAGTGCCGGGCGGTACCTGTCTGCGTATACCCAGCATCTATACAGGATACTAGTACTCTATAGAGCAGTAGCAAGCATCCAACCGGACCTGTCTGACATGTAGAGTGCGGCATCGCCAGGGTCAGGGGCAGGCTTCTTTCCGTCCCATGACGATTGATGGCCGCACCCTCAACGATTCCACGCGCGCATGTCACTCCCTTCGTTCCGCTCCGATCCCGCTCGAAGGGCAGCACCGCGAGGATTAAATATTCCCCCCGTATGCACCCGCAATAGCTACCGTGATGCTCACTGGTTCGTGGCGTGTTGCGGGTGTTTATTCTGCTGCTTCCGCACGGCTCGATGTGGACCTTTGATTGGAGTCTTGGCCTCTCGAATGCCGGAATTGCAATGGAGAGGAAAAACCGCGTTGGATGCATAATTTTTTTTTCTCCACGGGCAGGTGAGCAGTAACTAGAGTAGTTGACGTGCCGAGTCTTCCACGTTAGTTGGTTATCTATCGCGCAGCTGGACGACAGTCGAGCGGGGGGGACAATCGTTGGCCCGACCAGCGGCTGGCTGGCTGGATGGATGGGAATCCTCATCGCCGTCTTCAAGAGGGGGGAGGGGGGTGAAGACTGCGGTCGAGAAGTGTACATAAGTAAGTATCTAACCTATAGTACTTGACAGCCTACTTCTTGTATCCCACCACCACGCACATCGTGGGCCGGCGTGTCGTATCGAAAATCCGCCCTGCGGTAGTGATGGTGGTGATGGTGGTGATGGTGATGGTCGTAATATGGCCACTGGTGCTGGTGGTGCTGGTGGTGGATAGTAGAGTAGCAACGTGAGACACCGCGACATCCCACAGTTCGCTGCGCAACCGGCGCAACTGCCGCAACCGGTGCATGGTCCGACAACTTGTCGCGCAGACGGGCTTGGCGCGTGCTACGGCCCCGGAGCACGAGCTCTTTACGGAAGGCTCAGCACTCCCGTGCGTGCTTCGAATCCACACGGTTCGAGACATCTACGCGTCCTAGTCTCCTCCCAGTGCTCTCGTCCGCGTCGCTACTCAACCCCCAGGTGCAAGACCAGGAGCCAGCGCCCGGATGGGACGCGCCTTGGACCCCCCCTCTTGCCTCATTCGGGGCTGCCGCCCTTGCTCCCACCTTGGTCGTCTCTCCAGATTCGAAGATCCGAGGCCCAAAGGAGATCGCAGCTGTAATGGCTTCCCTGGAATTTGGCCCGCCCATGTCATCAGGGTTGGTCCTCAATGACAGGGAAACAGCTGCGGAACTGAATTGCCCCCCCCTCCCACCTCCATCCCACAGCGTGCACTGGGCACATCAGACAAACGACATGGGTGGTGGAGGAGGAGGAAGAGGAGGAGGAGGCCGTTGAGGTTGTCTCGAATTTTGGGACAGCGAGGACCCGGTCCTTTTGGCCTTTCCAACTGCGTTCACAAAAGGCTGATCTCTTCCTGGGACGTTAATACTGCCCGCAGTCCCTCCCTTCCCCATCCCTTTGCTCTAGACTTCTAACGTCCTCTTCCTCCGGACCGCGGACCTCTCTTGCCTCTCAGTCTACTCGCCCGCCGCCGCCTCCGCCGCCGCTCATCGTGTTCCCGTCCGTCTGGAACACCCCCTCCCCCCAATTTGCATATCTCAGATTATAGCTTCGACGCACGAAATGTGGAACAGTTTTCTCTTGCCAACACCGACACTGCTGTAGCTTGACACCTCCGACCCGAGCCACGTTCCTTCTACCATTAGCTGGCCGATCCCCTCTGCCTTAGATCTCCGCTTCGCTGCTGCTGCTGCTGCTTGCTCCCCTTGGGTTTCTTGTCTTGGTGTATGTATCCTGCATCTTTCTTGGAGTTGGTGGTGGTGTTGGTGGTGGGAAGTGACGTCGTGGACGTGGACGAACCGGATGGCAGTGCCTAACACATATCTCGACCAGTTTTTATAGATCGAAAATCTCATCCAGCCCTTTTTTCTCGTATCATTTCGGAGAATCTCCGCTGTTCCAAACGTACTTCGGCCCGAACTTCGTACCTTTCCATCTCGCCCGCACGCGTTCGCATCCATCCATCCACTGCATCCCTCCCTCCCGAGTCCACGATACCGGATCTCCATCGAACGGACACGATTACCGTATCCGGCCTTCCATCTGCTGTCGCTCGAGTACCGTGGAAGAGCATCACTGTGAGTCGATCACCTGGCCTGTGCGCAATATGACCTGTCTCTAACGTTAATGGTCGGACAGTATACCGACATCGGTCATATGTTGGTGAACCTGCAACCACATCAATATACATTGAACATCACGATAGTAACCCCGCCTTCCCCCACTTCCTCACTCGAGATATTCGAAAGTCCCGGAGCGATCGAGCAAGTCTGCACCTCGACAACTACAACAACATATTAGCGCTGGAGCATGTATAGCCGACTGTTTTCTTACAACAGCGCTCTATCACCCCACAAGGCTCCACCACCAGAACCTCCAAAACAACAGGGAGGATACTGGCAAGAAGTCTCGAATACAACGAAGAGGAAGAACTTCACCTGAAGGAGGGACCTGCCGCAGTGGAAATTGTGGTACCGGTCCTCCTTGTTCTCGAGTGGAACGTCGCACACGCACACGCGCCGCCGCCACAGTAAGAGATATCATCGGTCCGCGGTCCTTTTGCGCGACAGCCACCGGACAGTGATCTGGAAAGTACGAATCCGGGTCATCTCCATCCCGTCGCCTGCCTTCGGTGGCAAAATATTTTTCCACCGAACATCCGGGAAAGCCAAGACATTGTCGAAAATCTTCGGCATCGCCATTCCATCCCGACTGTACCACATTCCGAACCTGCGCTAAGCCTAAAAGTTTATCGCAATCTTCGTACACGCCTTCTAACTGCACTTCTTGAGTGTATTTACGGTTATCTATTTGTTTGCGAGTTGCATACCCAATCGATCCACCACGTGCACTTGTTTCTTTGTGGTCCCGCTCACTCTTTATCTCGTCTTCCCCGCAAACTTCGTTTAATCTCGACTTTTGGCTCGATCGGCTTAAGCACACAATCTCACTCGTATCGGTCTTTTTCCTTCGACAACACTCTCATCCGATTCGCGGACAACATCAACATCGAAGCACCGCAATGGGCTCCCACTCTTTCTCGATGTTAGACTTTTGCTTCCCGAATCTTCGCTTTTTGGGCCCCGTCAAGACCACTGTCGCCTCCAAGTCGGCATGGTTCTGGTCAGCGGCAATACACTCCTTCATCTCAGTCAGCATATCCACACAACTAGCAGCATTCTGCATCTCGATAGGATCGGTCCTCCTCTCCAATGCCGTTCAGGCGAACGGACCCACGCCATGGCGTGCGTTGGGCGAATTGCTGGTGGTCGGCATCTTGTATTCGACTCTCCCGTCCATCATCCGGTGCTTCTTCAGCGCCCCAATTGACGGCCCGAGCATGGGATGCCCAGAGGGATTAAGACCGACATTCTTCTTTGCTTCCACCACACATGCGCGATTCATACCGACAAAACACAGCTTCAAGTATCCATTGCTCTACGTCGGATTCCCTCTCACCATGCGGGGATCGATCGGGAAGGTTGCGTCCATCAAGGCGAGCAGATCGGAGAAGACGAAGGCCGAAGAGGAGGGAAGAACGCTCAAGGAGGATTTTACCTTCTTCAGCGTCGACCCGGCCAGGTACATCAACTCGGATCTCCCATTCGATCAGAAACTAGACAGTGTGCTTCTCGGCCATGTAAGTCCTTTTCGAGACTCCATTGATTGCCGGGCATACTGACATAGCCGATTAGGGCCTTAACCCCGCCGACTACCCGCTTGCGTATCTCGTCACCACTCCCGCGTTCTTCGGATACTCGTTCAACCCGGTTTCGTACTACTATCTCTATTCCGCTTCGAGGGAGCTCAAGCTCGTCGTTCTCGAAGTCCTCAATACCTTCGGCGAGAAACACGTCTACGTTCTCCGCTCCGATAATCCTACCAATCCTCCTGCACGGAAAGGCTACCTCTTTGCGGGCACCATGGAGAAGGTTTTTCACATCTCGAGCTTCAACCATCGTTCGGGCTCCTACGTCATCCAAGTCAACGATCCGATCGCGACGCCATGGAATCCGAGCTTGGACGTGCACATGGCCGTATACGACAAGGAGGGCCAGAAGACCATGGTGGCCAGGGCGTTTTCCCACTCGAATAGTTTCGATTTGCTCACGGGCAGTCTGTTCCGCGGATGGTATATCGGCCTGACATGGGGGTACAACACGTTCCTCTCCGTTCCGCAAGCATTCTACGAAGCATGGAAGTTGTACAAGAAGAAGGCAACTTTCTACATTAGGCCCGAGCCTCTCACGGGGAGCATCAGGAGGGAAGCCACCAGGAGCGAGCGGGAAATGCAGACCTTGTTCATGTGCTACCTTCGCGCCAAGGTCATGGAGTTCCGCGGGGGATTGGAGGTCAAGGTTACGCTTCCGGAGAGCACTCCTCTCAAAATGAGGACTCATCCGGAGGTCACTTTTTCCAATGGCAAACCCAGCAAGGGCGGAATCAAGCAGCTCCATCTCAGAGTGCTGAACCCCCGGTTTTTTATGCGTTTCTTCGCCACACAGGATCCATCCCAGACGCTGTGGATGGACTACACAACCAGTCAGCCGGATTTCCGGCTTGTCACCGTCGAGGGGGACGGAGGAATCAAGCTCTTCAAGAAGATCCTCGAGAGAGACTCCCGGCAGAAAGCTCGGGAGGCACCCCCTGGTTGGACCTGGCGGCTCATCTCGTTATTACGAGCCTGGAAGACGAGGAAGGAACTCCGAACAGCCGCTTCGGGAACCACGCTTCCGCCACCTCGCACTCGTCCTAGCAGCCATCTCAACACCATGGACGAGTTCTACCTCCTGCAGCGAGCCGCTTGTCCCCGCGCTCGCGCAATGTACAGATGGAAGGTGCTGCACGCCGTCGTGGCCGACGTCCTTGGCTTCGGCGACTCGGGCAACGTCGAGCTGCTCGCGTCGCTTGCGAAATCCGTCGGTCTGATCGGCGTGGTGGTGCTGGCGAATGTGGCCGCGGCCTGGCACTTCTACTGATCGACTACCCGATCGCGATCACCCACTTCATTCCGGTTTGCCATTTATTTTGCTGTAGATATTATTGTCCCATCTGGCGTTTGTACAGTTGGCCATTCGCTCCTTATCCTTTATTATTTCGACACTTATACCTTTTTATTCTGCCTTTTATTTCCTTCATACCAATTTCCACTCGCGATCATAGGGGCTCTAGATGGACACCACTCCTCATACACACACACACACACACACACACCCTCTCTCTCTCTCTCTCTCTCTCTCTCTCTCTCTCTCTCTCTCTCTCTCTCTCTCTGTTTACCTCTCTTTACATTTTTTCATCTCGAGATACCTCCTTCAATTTCATGTCTGTCTTATTTATCCCTTTTGTTCAGGTTCCTTACTGTTGTTTTGGTACCTTGGGAGGTCTACTGCTTTGCTTTTTCTGTGTATTTGCATTTGATTTTGATTTTGTGTTTTTTTTTGTTTGCGGGCGTCGCGGTTAGGGGTGGGGGCTGGCTACGGGGGAAAGGAGTTTTTTACTTTTTAGTTTTCATTTTGAAATTCTTTTAATTTCTGAGCTGGGAGCGGCGGTGGTGGCGGTGGCTTTTTGGTGGCTTTTTGGCTGTATATATGTGTGTATTCAACAGGACAGTAGGGGAGACGGGTTCCGGGTATTGGGATTGGAATCGATGGGCCATGGGGAATGGGATGGGGGATGACATTGGGGGATGGCATTGGGATGGGCATTGGGTGGGCGGGTGTGTATGTATATAGATCGACGGACGCGTACAAAAGGGATACCGGTACTGCTGAACTACACTTGCACTGGATGGTGAGCACTGAGGAACGATGGGTGGTGAAGAGCGAGGGGTGGTGGTAGTGGGGGTGATACCTTGTGATGTGGTGCTGGTGGTTCGTACTAGGTATGATACCGAAGGTAGGAAGTAGATAGTCCATAATCCTGCATTACCGCCTACTGTATGAGAGTGAGAGTGCCTCCTCTAACCATGGCAATTGCAGCACCGGATTCAAGATGGGACATCACTTACCAGGCCATTCGATAAGCCATAGTAGAGTACCATACTATCCCCTCCATGCCCGGGCGGTTGTACATTTGTAGCAGTGCATACATAGCATGCCCCATTGAGAGGCGGTAGTGCGTCTACACAACCACACGACTTTCTGTCTCGACTAGTCTGGTTGCAGCTGTGCTGGTAGTGGCGGCTGCTTTGTACCATCACGGTCGCCGTGGCCTCGCGAGGCACACGTCTAGTATTCGTCACCGTATCAATTCTGCTCATTGTCAAAAAAAAAAAATGTAATGTTTGCTACAGGAAGATAGTTGGGGCTATAAAAGTACCAGATACATGCTCTCATAGCTGGGTTACTAAGACTGGAAAGCCGCGGGAGTCTGGGCTCCAGTTACGAGCAGCTGGGTGTAAAAGTGCCAATTATTAGGGGCACCACTGAGCAGCTGGTCTCGTGGGGATTATTGCAGCCTGTTTTTCTGTCCAGTTTTTATAAAAGCCTCGGGACGAGGGAGGAGGGAATGTACGCTGCTAAATACATAATGGTAGAGAGCCTGTTTCTACTAACTTGCATAAGTTGCTCTGCGGAATCCAGTCGAATGCTTTTGGTACCACTCGTTATCAACCTATCTGCACCGGTCACGATTTTGCCAACTTCATGCACTGCAACAAATTTACAAGCGCAGGATAGTAACGGTGACCTTGGCACTTGGAGGTTGGCACTTGGAAGTTGGCTGGCTGATAGTACCAGTAGTACTGGGTGGATATGGGAGGAGATGGATTGATATGGTATACATGGGTGGATATGGGACGATATGGATTAATATGGGATTTACGGGGTGGATATGGTATTCATGGGTGGATATGGGAGGAGATGGATTGATATGGTATCCATGGGTGGATATGGGAGTAGATGGATTGATATGGGATTTATGGGGTGGATATGGTATTGATGCGTGGATATGGAAGGAGATGGATTGATATAGGATTTATGGGATTGATATGGTATTCATGCGTGGATATGGGTGGATATAGGATTTATGGGTGGATATCGTATTGATGCGTGGATATGGGAGGAGATGGATTGATATGGGATTTATGGGATTGACATGGGATTTATGGGGCGGGTATGGTATTGATGGATGGATATGGGAGGATATGGATTAATATAGCATTTATGGGCGGATATGGTATTTATGGGTGGATATGGATTGATAAGGGATTGATATTGGCGGATATGGGAGGATATGGGAGTAAATGGATTGATATGGGAGGATAAGGATTGATATGGGTGGATATAGATGGATGGTAGGCGGTTGCTGTTGTTGTTGTTGTTGTTGTTGCGGTCGGCGGCTTGTAGGTTGCAGCTTGCGGGCTGCGGGTGCTGCCGATTGCGACCCGATTAAACTTCGGTTTGATATCCGCGCCGGGAGCGTGCTAGTCGGGCTGGTCATGCAGCGGGATGTGGTTCTTGAAGGACGCTGATCGGCGCGGTTCGCTGCTGCCGGATGCACTCACTATCACTCGGTGGCCGGCTTCAATACTTGGAGACTTGGAGATTTGGAGTTGTCAGGGGTGAGAATTCAGGCTTGGACTTTAGCTTGGCTCCAGCAGAGATCCTTGGGTAGAGCTTTGGCCTCCCGGAGGAGGAGGGGGGCGGGGGGGGGGGGGAGGGGGGGGCAAAATGGCCGCTTCGCTGGCGGTGCTGCCAGGCCGTGTTGAGTTTCCTAGCCGCTATTGATGTATCATGTGTGCAGGCGGATCCTGGAGATTGCTGAGGTCGCTGACTCGCTAGGGAAGATACGGGGTGTGAGGTCTCTGAGTGGGAAGAAATGCTGGCGGAGACGAGGCCGTTCGTGGCATCTCCTGATGGCGAGCAGAGCTCAGAGCGGACTCTTCCTCCTGCAGCTTCGTCTCCCTGATTCCCTCTACTATGTGTATCTATCTTCGGAAGAGGCCAGGGCGTCGGGCTGGGCAGGGGAAGCCACGCCCACATCGGGCCGGGCCGCTTGACGAAAAGTTGAGCTGGACAATGGACAGTGGACGTGGAAAAGGTCACCGGTGTGTGTATATCG